CCTGGTGGATGAATTTGGCCGAATCTTTATGCAGGGAAATAACAGATATGGGCAGCTGGGAACAGGGGACAAAATGGACCGAGGGGAACCCACACAGGTGAGCCTGTTTCTCGATAACTCTCATCCTAGCCCCCTTCCTTCAATTCCCTAAACCTCACACCTCTCCACTTCTCCATTCTCTTTGGAATCCACTTCTTACTCCCTGGGGAAGTTAAGCCAACCAGTACATAATGCCTGGGATACTGGTGCGTGTCTTTCCCAGGGTTGGCAGTGTGAGATCTGTTCTGTACGGTGCTTGCTGTGAGTGCAGTTAGGAATGTAGTGAGGCAGGGAGACCCAGGGTGGGCTGGTATGACCAGAAGAGGTAAGATGTGATCAGGGCCTGGTGGCTAAGGTTGGATTCGGGTGGGTACGAGGAGAGGCATTCTGTATAATGGAGACGACAGTGCAGCTTGCATATACCTAAAGCAGAGAGGGTGTTTTGGAAATTGGTAGATATGAGGTGGTACAGGTGGGTGTAAGCCTAGAGAGGCAGAAGTTTGGGAAAGTCACAGGGGGTTCTGGAGCAGGAGAAGGCAACCTCCAGGGTGACTGAGAACAGGAGGCCACTGAATAAGAAGCCCACTGGGAAACTGGGGAGCTATGGCAGCACTTGAGACAAGAGCCTGAGGTGGTGAGAATACAAAAGAATGGATACTGGAGATGTTTTGAAAAGAAATGAACAGGCCCTAGAAACTGATGAGATGTGAGGAAAGGCCCGGAGGACAAAAGCGGCTCTGGCACAAGACCACTTGAAGAAAGATGGCATCACTACAAATGAAGGAATGGATGCCGGCTTGAGGAAAGAGGAAGAGTGTGAATTTAGACTTTTTAAAAAAGATTTTATTTATTTATTCATGAGAGACAGAGAGAGAGAGAGAGAGAGAGAGAGAGGCAGAGACACAGGCAGAGGGAGAAACAGGCTCCACACAGGAAGCCCGACGTGGGACTCAACCCCAGGACTCCAGGATCACACCCTGGACTGAAGGCGGCACTAAACTGCTGAGCCACCTGGGATGCCCCAATTTGGACTTTTTCAAAAGTGGCAGTGTCTCTCTGACATTAGATTCCATGTTGGAAGAAGGTCAAAACAGACAGAAGTAGGGATAGGGAAGCAAACTCTTGGCAGGAACAGATGTTGTAGGCAGAGGGCCAGAAAAGGCTGTCTCTGAGACAGGAGGGGTACACCCTCAAATGCCAGATCCCAGAAGCCCTGGGTGCAGGGAGATCCAAACAGGAGGGCGTCATTAATGGTAACAGGTAATGCAGGAATATACTTACTGACACAGAAAGATGGTCAGGCCACATTATGTTTTACATAATATAACCCCATTTGTGTTTACAAATATGCAATTTATACACATATATACACACATAAGCAGCAGTGAAGAAGACTATCCAGCAAGATATTCATTATAGGTGGTGATTTTTTTTTTTAAGTAGACTCCACACCCAGCAGGAGCCCAAGGTGTGGCTTGAACCCATAACCCTGAGATCAAGACCTGAGCCAATATCAAGAGTTAGGTGCTTGGGGCACCTACGTAGCTCAGCTGGTTAAGTGTTCCACTCTTGATTTCTGCTTGGGTCATGATCTCAGCTCCTGAGACCGAGCCCCTAGATGGGTTCCTCACTCGGTCGGAGTCCGCTTGGGATTCTCCCTCCCTCTCCCTCTGCTCCTCCCTCTGTTTTCTATCTCTCTCTCTCAAATAAATAAAAAACAAATCTAAAAAAAAGAGAGTCAGACGCTTAACCAACTGAACCACCCAGGCGCCCCTTCCCAGTAATTTTTAAATTCATCTTTGCTCATCACATTTTATAATTTTTCTATAATGACCATAAATTACTTACCTGTGGTCTTCAAAATTAAAGGCCTCATAATCTCAGGAGGAAGTGTGAAGCAGAGGCCCCAGGATTTGGCAGCTGGGAGGTCAAGTGCATCTGGAGAGAACATGTCAGTAGCATAGTGAGGAGGAAGCCAGATCACAAGAAAGTGCAGGAAACATTGGCTGTGGTGAGAACAAGAATGTGGTCGACCTCAGACTGATCATGTAACCAGTTCTGCTGCTTAGAGACAGAGGTCAGAAGCAGCAGGAATCAGGTGGAAATGTTGTTTTTCAAAATAGGGTAGCCAATTGGAAGACAGGGATAGGACAAGTTGAAAATGCCAGAGAGAAGGCAGCCCAGGTGGCTCAGCAGTTTAGCGCCACCTTCGGCCCAGGGTTATGATCCTGGAGACCAGGGATCGAGTCCCACATCTGGCTCCCTGCGTGGAGTCTGCTTCTCCCTCCACCTGTGCCTCTGTGTGTGTGTGTGTGTGTGTGTTTCATGATTAAATAAATAAAATCTTAGAAGAAGAAGAAGAAGAGGAAGAGGAAGAAGAAGAAAGAAGAAGAAGAAGAAGAAGAAGAAGAAGAAGAAGAAGAAGAAGAAGAAAATGCCAGAGAGAGAAGGGAAGAGTGAGGGGAAGGAAAGTCCTTCCTGGGGCTAACCTGGAATTGCACAGGGAGGGAGGGAGTCTTGAAACTTTGGGAAAAGAGGAAGGATAGTCCTCCTTCTGGGACTGGAAGGCAGAATGAGAGACTAGACTGGCACAGTCCTGTGACAGTGAGGGAGCAAATGGTAGTTCCTACGCTCAGTCAAGTAGCCTCTTTTCTGGAAAGCAAAGATGCAGAGGCTACGGAAGTGCAGAGTCTGCCTGAGACTGCAGGAGAACCAAGGAGAGATTGCTGCTGGTCTACCTCCTAGCTGGGCAGGAGTGGGGGTGGGCATGGGGGGGTATGAGTCCTTTGTTTTCCTGTCCTAGTTACCCTAGATTCTTCCTAAGCCTTCCTGCCCTAGCTGGGCCCCCACATCCTTGGCATTCCCACCTTAGGCATCCTGGTCTTGTGTCCTCAGGTACATTATCTGCAACGCCCCATTACCCTGTGGTGTGGCCTCAACCACTCCCTGGTGCTGAGCCAGGGCTCAGACTTCAGCAAGGAGCTTCTGGGCTGCGGCTGTGGGGCTGGAGGCCGCCTCCCTGGCTGGCCTAAGGGGAGTGCCTCCTTCGTGAAGCTCCACGTCAAGGTCAGAGCATTGTCACACAAGCAGGCCACCAGGGAGGGCAGGAGCAGTAGAGCCAGGTGGCACCCAGGAGCATAACTGGGGCTCCTACAGGAATCCAGGGTGGGGGCATCTCCCCAGCACAATCTACCTCCCTTCCCTGCCACAAACCATGGCTCCTGGCTCTCTCCCTTAGCAGACCCTGCTGGCCCTCTCTGACCTCACACAACCTTGGGACTCAGCCAGCCCTAGCTCACTTGCTGGCTCAGGGCTGGTCTCAGAGGGAGGAACACAACAGCTGGGGCTTCCTGGGAGCCCCTCAGGAAAGGCCCAACTCAGCCACACCCCTTCTCTCCTCCAAGGTCCCTTTGTGTGCCTGTTCCCTCTGCTCTACCAGAGAGTGCCTCTACATGCTGTCCAGCCATGACATCGAGCACCACCCCACCTATAGGGACCTACCAGCCAGCAGGGTGGTGGGGACCCCTGAGCCCTGCCTGGGAGCCGGAGCATCCCAAGACCCAGGGGGGGCGGCCCAAGCCTGTGAGGAGTACCTCAGCCAGATCCACAGTTGCCCCACCTTGCAGGATCGCATGGAAAAGATGAAGGAGATCGTGGGCTGGATGCCCTTGATGGCTGCACAGAAGGATTTCTTTTGGGAGGCCTTGGACATGCTGCAGAGGGCTGCTGCAGGCGTTGGCCCAGGCCTCCCAACCCCAGAGAGCTGACCACCCCCCTCTCCTAGTCTCACCCCTGGAGGGAGAGTCTGGCCCTGGGCCAGGAGCTAAGGAGAAATGGGGTGGTAGCAATAAACACTGTATGTGCACAAGGGGTGGGGGGTGTGCGGGGATTGCTAGACATGCCAGGGTGGAGAGGGAACTGTTTTGTAAAATGTTCAGGGGGCTGCCCAGGAGGGGCCCCCAATCTGACTATCATGGACAAGAGATTTGATGGACAAATAGAATAAAAGGCTGAAGTGAGGCCCGGTTTGGAGCCCTGGGACCTGGGAGGAAAATGGGGCAGGGGATGGTGACCGGGTGGCTGAGTGGGCAGTGGAGGCCCAGGCATGGGGGGGCGGGTGGTGGAGGCAGAGCAGAAGTGTCTCAGGCATTCAGGTGCTACAGAACTGACCACCTGAATCTTTCAGCCTGCTCTCCCCTCCCATTCCCAAGACCAGCCCAGGCTCCTGGTCTTGGAAGTCCAAGCCCCACCTTCTGGAACAATGAAACCAACATATGCTACTGGTTCTCTTCCTCGGATCCTCTATCCGACTTCCATCCTGGGGAGGCCACTTGCCTTGGACTTCACAGAGCTTCCTACCCATTTCCCTTGGTCCCTGTGAGGTCAGCCCCCGCTTCCCCTCTACCGCCAGGTCCAGTCTCACGTGTTGTCCCTTTCCCTCACTTTCTGCTCCATCCTCTTCGTCAGAAGGGGGATGCTCCCTTTACCATCTGCCCCGCCCCTAGCCCCTCCCATACCTCCAAATATTCGGGAGAGAAAATGGCTGAGCAGGAAAAATTCTCTCCTTGGCCTAGTCTGGCCCAGGGATGGAGAGAAGATAGTAGAAATTTGAAGTGGAAAATTAGCTGGAGCAAGGGGAGGTCAGGAAGGGGTGAGTGACTAGATGTAGGGGTCTAGGGGAGGGGGAGGCACAGGGACGGCTGGGAGGAAGGACCAGATGCTCAGGCACTGGGCAGAGTGGGGTCCAGATGACAGGACCTGCATTGTGGCTGAGGGCTGATGCTCCCTCTGCCCTTCACTGCTCCACCCCCTACTTAGGTCAATATTTATGTGTCCTGGACCTAGAGAGGCCCCTGGACTCACCACTGTCCCAACTAAACTCTCCCTGTCCCGCCTTCCCCACCGCCCGCCCCGCTGGCCAGTCCCCACGCCCACACACCCGAGGCTGCCTCATCTGGCACTGATTATCTCCGCTGCTGCCGCTGCTGCTGCTAAACTCAGCTGCTGCCTCTGCCTCAAGGACCCCGGCGCCTCTCCCCCCAGCCATGCTGCCTGCTGCCACAGCCTCCCTCTTGGGGCCCCTCCTCACTGCATGGGCCCTGCTGCCTTTCACCCAGGGCCAGACCCCCAACTATACCAGGTAGGTCTCTTGGCACCTTCCAGATAGCTTGAGTGAGCTTCAAAAACCCCTGATTCCTGGGGGTTTTGCCTGTGGAGCCCATGGATTCTTTCACTAATGCACCACCCCCCCAGATCTCCTATAGCCCCAACTCTTCCCTGGTCCCCATGTTCTCCCTCCCTACCTGCAAGACTACTATTTCCTGTGGGTCACCAGTGCCCCCCATTCCTCCACCCTTTGTCCCTCATCTTCTAAGTCTTCCCATCCACCCAGACCCTTGCCCACCCCTCACCCCCCACCCCTATGGAACCTGAGAGCACCAAGACCTTGAACTTGCCTGGTAGCTGGACATCTGGATTCCAAGAGAGAATGAGAGTTGGGGGGGGCTGAGAGGGGGGAGCGAGGGGGAGACTTGGGAGTCAGATACTCAAGTAGTTGAGAGCAGGGCAAAGGTTGGGAGCTGGGGAAATCTGGTCTCCAGGTTCAACATGAGGGCCATTGCTGCTGCTGCTCCTCATCTCTCCGCCCCCTCCCCCCCATGGCTTCGTGGCTGTGTCCACATCTGGAAGTAGTTAGGCGGCTCCTGTCCCCGACTGCCAGGCAGGGCGAGGGGGGAGAGTGAGGAACAGCCTGAGGAGGATTCCGGGAATTCCTATTGGGGTGGGGGTGGGGACTGGGGGGTGTTGGAGAGACAGCCAAGTTGCTGGCCCCACTTGTTCCTAATCCTCTCAATCCCGGCATGGCTGGCTGAGGCTGCCCCAGATTCCCTAGGCCTCCATCCCCCTGGCTTCCCTCCCTGCCCGCCCCCCTCCGTCCCTATCCTTCCCAAGCTCTCTTCCACTCATGGCTGATGCCTCTTCTGATCTCCAGACCTGTGTTCCTGTGTGGAGGGGATGTGACCGGGGAGTCAGGTTACGTGGCAAGTGAGGGTTTCCCCAACCTGTACCCCCCCAATAAGGAGTGCATCTGGACAATAACGGTGAGAAGTTCCTTCCTATCACTACCCCCTTGTTGTAGACTCCCAGGCCCAACTAAGGGCACCTCAGTCTGCCGGCCCCCTGCTCCCACCACCTCCCATTCCTGAACCACCAAGCCTTATCCCCTGTCACTGAGGGCAGCAGTGCCCATAATAACACGGGGCAAAGGGTCCTCACACCTTACTTAAGGTCTGCTTCTCCACTTCCAGCTTCATTCCCAGTCCTCCAATCTCTCCAGGACCTCAGGTCTTGTCCCGTGCACAAGCCAAAAGCTGCTGCAGAGCCCAGGTCCTCTGCTCTGCACGCTGATGGGGTCCCTTCCTGTTCAGGCCCAGTATCTGTATGAAATGCTTGGGGAAGGACAGGTACCCTCTGCCTGGGTTGTGTGTGGCCTGACTTTGCAGGTCCTCTTCCCTGTCCCCGCCTTCAGGTCCCTGAGGGCCAGACTGTGTCCCTTTCCTTCCGAGTCTTTGATTTGGAGCTGCACCCCGCCTGCCGTTATGATGCTCTAGAGGTCTTTGCCGGGTCTGGAACCTCGGGCCAGCGGCTTGGACGCTTCTGCGGGACCTTCCGGCCTGCGCCCTTAGTCGCCCCCGGCAACCAGGTGACCCTGAGGATGACGGCGGACGAGGGCACGGGAGGACGAGGCTTCCTGCTCTGGTACAGCGGGCGGGCCACCTCAGGCACTGGTGAGACCTCACTCGCCTCCGCCTCCCCCTCTCCTGGCCCCGCCCCCGGCGCAGGCCCCGCCCCCAGCCTTAACCTCCACCCCCCAGCCGAACCCCAAGCCCGAGAGCCTAGGGCCCCCATTACCTCCCTTACCCTTTTTCCTCACTAACTGCCCCTTCAGTCCCTCCTCCTCGTCTTCTCTCCCCCCTCCCGCTCCCGCCCACCCCCTCTTCCAGGCCCCCCCCCAGGCGCGAGGCGGAAATGGGTCACCGACCCGCGGGTGGAATGGGCGGCCTGGGGTTACTGGGACGGTGAGTAACAGCCCGCCCCCGTCCGCAATCGGGCTCCCTTAGACGGGCGCGAGGAGGCATTCGGGCTGGGGGATTAGGTACCCCCGACCCGGAGCCCCCTACACCCAGCCCGGGGCTCCCGATTGCGGTCCCATCACCCCCCTCCTGGCGGTAGAGGTCTCCCCTAAATGTTTAAGGCAGGAACCTCCCCAAAGAGGCTTCTGGGGCTGTGTCCCAATTTGAGGGCACCCTCACAACGTGAGGACTCCCCAACCTGCAAGAGGGACTTCTCCGCCGGACCGGGGAGATGGGATCTCCCAGGGGAAGAGGAGCGGTGTGGCCGCGGGTCAGGGGGAGGGGCGAGAGGGAGCGTGTCCTGCCAATGCCTCCTCCCCCTTCCAGCGCCCACCTGGGCGCCGGGCGGTCCGAGACTCCCCTGAGCCCTGCTTCTCCAAGCCCCCTATCTGCTAACCAACTCCCTCTTCCGTACCCCTCTTTTCGTCCCCTCATGCTGAGACCCAGACATCCGAGCTTCCAGCACAGGCTTCCAGCCTAGCGCTCTCCTCGAGCTGACCGAGGGTCTCCACCGCCTCCCACCCCCACACCTCTCTCCCCTCCCCAGAGCACCAATTTTGCGGGGGGCGGCTGGAGAAGGCCCAGGGAACCCTGACCACGCCCAACTGGCCCGAGTCCGATTACCCCCCGGGCATCAGCTGTTCCTGGCACATCATCGCGCCCCCGGACCAGGTACCGAGCCCCTGCCCGGGCCGCCCTCGGGGACCCGGGCGGCGTCCTGCAGCATGCAGCCAGCAAAGATTTATTGACCATCTGCTGCTATGTCCCGATCACTGAGCTCACGGTGGTAGGGTGCGAAAACAGACCCAGAACTGCTCGCGCTCAAACAAAAAATGTAAAATAACACCTGTGACGAGTCTTACGAGAGCGAGGTACACGATGCTGACACATAAACGGTGTTTTGTGTGTGTAAGTGGCGGCAGTGGAGGTGGATGCTGTGTCTGTTCCTTGAGCGTGAGCCAGGACTAGACCTTGCCGACGAAGGCAGACGCCACGGAAGGGTTCCCTTGGTGTGTGACCCTCCGAGCGGTGGTGTGACTGCTTTAAGAAGGGAGCTCCAGGGGACGCGGGAGGGGAGAGAGGAGATTGCCGCGAGCTTCCCGGGCTCCCGGAGGAGGCAAGAGGTGCAGAGCTTCCGCGCCCTCGAGCCGCCCGGGGTACCGCCGCGCAGCCTCCTCTCTCCCCGCCGACAGGTGATCTCGCTGACCTTCGGGAAGTTTGACCTGGAGCCCGACACCTACTGCCGCTACGACTCGGTCAGCGTGTTCAATGGAGCCGTGAGCGATGACGCCAAGAGGCTGGGAAAGTTCTGCGGCGACACCGCCCCGGGGTGAGGGGGCGGGACCCGGGTGGTTGGCGGGGAGGGGTCTCCACCTCCCCAGGAAAGGGAGTGGGGCTGAGAGACCTGGCTTAGATGAAGAGGTGAACACCTGCACCGGGGACCCCCAAGATGGGCGGAGCTAGTTGGGGACCAGGCAGAAGACCCGGTTTGGCACCGGGACGGGTCCACGGATGGAGAGGCGAGTAGGTCCCGCGTAGTCAGGTAGCTGGTTAAGACTAACCCAGGGCAGAGGTTACAAAGGCCCGCCTGACGCTTCCCACGGTGCCCGCCACCCGCAGTCCCATCTCCTCTGAAGGGAATGAGCTCCTCGTCCAGTTCGTCTCTGACCTCAGTGTCACGGCCGATGGCTTCTCCGCCTCCTACAAGACCCTGCCGCGCGGTGCCGCTGCCGAAGGGCAGGCCCGGAGCCCCGGGGAGGATGCCCGGTCCGGGGCCTCGCTCCCCAAGCCCGGACCCCCACCTGTGGAGAAGCCAAAGGCCTCATCGGAGGCTCTAGCACCTCCGGAAGCTCCCAGTGAGTCTGGGAAGGGGGAGGAAGGGACATAGACTGAAAGGAGCCATTCCAAAGACCTCCCTTCTGAACTCGTTCATTTATGCACACATTTATGCTCTGGTGCCTCCTCTGTACTCAGGTCTGGTACTGGGTGTGGGATCTAGCACTGGATAGAGCTCTGAATGAACTAAAATTAATGAGACCTTTAGGAGGAAAGGGGTCCTTCCTACCTGCCCATTGGGTCCCCCTCCACAAACAGCACCCCCCTCCTTCCTAGATGTGCCCAATGTGTCCTGCCCAAAGCAGTGCCGAAGGACAGGCACCTTGCAGAGCAACTTCTGTTCCAGCAGCCTGGGTAAGAAGCCCCATCTGCCAGCTTTGCTCCTCCAGCAGCTCTAATCCCACTCCTGTCCCCAAAGTCCCCCCTCCTGGCTCCAGCCCTGACCTGGCCTCTGTCTCCAGCCCTGACCTGGCCTCTGTCTCCTCAATTCTCACCCCCACTCTCCCACAGTGGTGACTGCGACAGTGAAGTCCATGGTTCGAGGCCCAGGGGAGGGTCTCACTGTCACTGTCAGTCTCATTGGTGCTTACAAAACCGGAGGCCTGGACCTGCCTTCTCCAATCACTGACACCCCCCTGAAGTTGTATGTGCCTTGCAAGCAGTGCCCTCCCATGAAGAAAGGTAACAGATGTGGGAAAATGGGGAGGAGGACTTAGCCTCATGAAAATGATAGAATCTGAAGGACTCTGACGAGGAGGTACATCTACAAGGTCACAACAATGCACTCTCAATACCTCCCTTCCCTCCCCTCCCCCAGGAGCCAGTTATCTGATGATGGGCCAAGTGGAAGAGAACAGAGGTCCTATCCTTCCTGCAGAGAGCTTCGTGGTTCTCTACCGGCCCAACCAGGACCAGATCCTCACCAACCTCAGCAAGCGGAAGTGCCCCTCCCAGCCTGGTCGGGCTGCTGGGTCCCAGGCCTGAAACCCAGGCTACCTTCCTAGCCTGGAGCCCTAGGGACTCCTTTCTTATCCAAATAAATGTTTCTTGACTGAGGAAGGGGTCACATTTCCATTTCTATGGTCTGGGGGCCCCCTAAGGAGATTTCATTCATTCGTTAAATTCAACATGTTTCAGAACAATCTTTTCAGAATGCAAGACTTTGTCACCCCTTTGCTCAAAACTCTTCCCCTGTTTTCAACACACACAAATACACATACACACACATGGTAACTATGTAGATGTGTTGGTTGTGTTAATTAGCTTGATTGTGGTGATCTTTTCATAATGTGTACATAAATCCAAATATCAAGTTGTACACCCTTTGGTTTTTTTAAGATTTTATTTATTTAGGGACCCCTGGGTGGCTCAGCAGTTGAGCGTCTGCCTTTGGCTCAGGGCCTGATCCTGGGGTTCCGAGGTTGAGTCCCACATGGGGCTTCCTACATGGAGCTTGCTTCTCCCTCTGCCTAGGTCTCTGCCTCTCTCCCTCTCTCTCTGTCTCTCATGAACAAATAAAATCTTTAATAAAAAAAAAGATTTTATTTGTTTGAGAGAGAGCACACGCTCATGCACAAGGAGGGTAGGAGCAGGAGGGAGGACAACCCCCACTCCCCAAGCGGGGAGCCCAACTTGAGGCTCGATCCCAGGACCCTGAAATCATGACTTGAGCTGTTAACCAACTTGGCTCAGTTGAGCCACCAGGAGCCCTTCAAGGGCAGTTGTACACCTTAAATAGATACAATTTGTATATGTCCTAAGACATCTCAATTAAGCTATTAAAAAAAAAAGAAAACCTCTCCCATAGGTTCCCACTAGTCTCAGAATAAAATCCAAAGTCCTACTGAAGACTGAGTCTCTACGTGATCTGCATCCACCCTCCCACCTTATCTCATCTCTGACTGTTGTCTCCCTTAGAAGTGCTGTTCCAGTCTCAGTGGGTCCTTGATCATTTTTAGTACCTTCTGCTTCAGGGCTTTGCCTTAGCTATCTCCTCTGTCCAAAATTCTCACCACGGATCTCTCATGGCTCGCCTCCTAACTTCAATCAGATAGATCTCAGCATAAAGTTCATCCTAGTCACACATTTGTTCCTTCCAAATGGCAGGCTCTCTGGAATGAACCAGAAAACAAAGTGTCTGCTCTTATGGGGAGGAAAGTACATTCTACTGGAGCAGAGATAAGTAACAAACATGGTGTCAAGTGAAACTGTGCTGAAGAAAACAAAAGCCTGAAAGGATAAAGTGGGTTCTACATTTGTTGGGGCGCTCAGGGAAGGCTTTGGGATAAGATGAACTTTGTTTTTGCTTTACTGCTAACCACTCATGTGCCCTGGGGTGAGATTCTTCATCTTCCTGAGGCCACTTCTTTTGTGAAAGGAGTTAAAGATTCAGTGGGATGATGCAAGTGGCAGGGTTGGCAAATCCTACTTCCTTGTGCAAACATGAGTGATTTCTGAGTCCCATGCAGGAAAGGGAGACACAGGAGAGAAGTCATGGGCTCAGATCTTGATGCAGGCAGTTTGGGTACAGAGATAGATCGATAGATAGACGGACTGAGCGTTCCGGAGACTTGGAAAGGAAAAGAGCGTGAGTCTCATCTTTTCTGGGGTTTTTATTGGGGATTGTTGTCTGGTGTGCGTTGTCCTTTCAGGCATCCTGGAATTAGAACAACGGTAGGACGCAGGTGTCTTTCATGTCACTCATTCCCTGAAGCTGGGGGGTCTTGGCCTGGAGCTATCTAGTGCCAGTGGTCTGGAATAGGCACATGATGGTTAGCAGGTAATTCTTTAGATATCACCTATAGTGCTGGAAGACTCCAAAGATATCATCTCTTTGACCCTTATAAGGAGGCCATATATGCTTTTTACATTAGGAAGCACGTGTAGAGTGGGGTGGATGTGCAGGCCCTAGCAAGAATAGAAGCTGGAAAAGAAACAAAGGGGAAGGGACGCCTGGGTGGCTCAGCGGTTGAGCGTCTGCCCTTGGCTCAGGGTGTGATCCTGGGGTCCGGGGGTCGAGTCCCACATCGGGCTCCCTGCATAGAGCCTGCCTCTCTCTCTGTGTCTGTCATGAATAAATAAAATCGTTAAAAGAAAAAAAAAGAGAGAGAGAAAAGAAACAAAGGGGGAAAAAAAACGGCTTCAGGAGTGCCTGAGTGGCTCAGTCAGTTAAGTGGCTCACTCTTGATTTCTGCTCAGGCCATGATCTCAAGGTCCTGAGATCCATCCCCACCTCGCCCCAGGCTCCACATTCAGCGGGGTCGGTTTCAGGATTCGCTCTCCCGTTCCCCTCCCACTCGTGTTCTCTCTCAAATCTTAAACAAAAAGACTCTATTTCATGAGGTCTCTGTAGTTTTCCTGTCTGAATCCTACTCCAACTGGAAGCAACCTCGCAACTAGTACTGTGGAAAACGGCTGCGATTGCCGCAGAGGCTTCTAGGAAGGCCTGGGATTAAAGTAGAGAAAGGGAGCTTCCCCACCGCAAGTGATTCTAGCGATTCGGAGGTCGCAACCGGGAGGGAGGAACAAAGCCCAGCGGCCAGCTACCCGGGCTAAGGACTTCCCTCAGTTACTCTGGGCAGAGCTTTCTGGCCGGAGTCGCCCGTAAAGTTTTGCGTCACTGGGATCTAGCCAATCACGTCGTTAAGCTCGCCAATCGGAGTACACTTACGGCGGAAACGCGGCCGCCCCAGCCAATGACAGCGGCCGTACGGCGGAAGCGTCGGAATGGCCTCCCGGGAAGATGGCTGCCTCGGTCCGGCCACAAGTTGATTGGCAGGTACAGTGACCAGAAGGTAAGCCTCATAGCATGTGCGGCTGTTCGGAGGCTGACGCACAAAGGAGCTGCGGGCGGAGCTCAGGGAGGGGTCGGAGGCACAGATAAAAGCCTCTAGAGAGCCGGAGGAAGGACGGTTCCGGAGGGGGGCGCTGCGGCAGGCGGGGTCTGGCCGGAGAGCGGGGACGCCCGGAAGGGGCGGGGCCTCCGGCGGGGCAGGAGGGGCTTCTGAGGTCCGGAGCCGAGCCTGCAGACAAGGCCCGGGTTGGGAGCAAATAGGGGCAGGGTTTATGGGGTGGGCGTGACCATGAGGTGGGGCTTGGGGCGGGGCCTAAAGGGACCGGGTAGAGCCCGAGAGGGGAAGGGTTTGGGGGGCCCAGGCCTGGTCTGCGGGAGCCTCATTGAGCGGGCTTCCGACGCGGCGGCGGCAGGATCAGACCAGGCCCCGCCCCCTGAGCATTCCGATCCCTTTCTCTCCTCTCATTCCGATCCTTTTCTCCCCTCTTGTCCCCCCAGCTCTAGACTCCAGGCCCTGTCCCCTGAGCTCTGCCTTCGTATGTCCACCGTTCACAGCCTGCATGCGCCGTGGGGCGCCCCAGGACCAGGAGCTGGTGGGCGCGGGGGCTCCTGGGCGGGGGTCCCGGGGCGCCCCTCCTCCCTCGGGACCTGTCCCGGTCCTCGTCTTTCCCCCGGACCTAGTATTCAGGGCGGACCAGCGGAGTGGACCCCGGCAGCTGCTGACCCTCTATAACCCCACGGGAGCTGCGCTTCGCTTCCGAGGTGAAGGGATGGGCACCTCATGCTAGGAATCTGGGTCTGGCGGCCGGACACTTGGGGGGAGGGGCTGCATGGGCTGGGGGAGCGAGATGAGTGGGGTCAGATAGCCAACCTTGGTGGACTGGAAAAGTCATGTCCAGCCCCGGGGTAGAAGGGAAGGGAGACTCTAGTGTCCCTCCACGGGCTAGCTTTTGTAGGGTCTCTGAAGCAATAGTCGGTCTGTGTCCCTTTATTCCTCAGTCCTGTGCACAGCACCTGCCAAATACACGGTGTTTGACGCAGAAGGATATGTGAAACCCCAGTCCTGCATTGACATGTGAGTTGGGGTGGAGGGGCCTCTTGGAAGCCAGGGGTCGTGGCCCCCTTTGAATTACCGTGCTGGTGATGGTGAAGTAGGGCTTAGCTGATTCTCCTCAGTCTTTTTCCCTACCTCTGTTTGCATCCCTAAGGGAAAGGCTCCTGGGAAGAGGGGAGGGGGGCTGGATCCACTTGGATCACTGCCTGTCACTCACTTCCTTTCAATGGGCCTCTTTCCTATATTGGGACCAGTGTGATTCGCCACGTGGCCCCTATTCCCAGCCACTATGACGTCCAGGACCGCTTCCGCATTGAGCTGTCTGAGGAGGGAGCTGAGGGTCGAGTGGTGGGGCGCAAGGACATCACCTCGGTTCTGAGGGCCCCAGCCTACCCACTTGAGCTCCAGGGACAGCCTGACCCAACACCCCACCCAGGACCTCCTTCCTGGACAACACCACCCACGGCCAGACATTTCCCAGAGAGTGAGTTGGGGGATGGGAATTCTTGAGTTCTTCAGCATTGCCCTAGAGATGCACTCAGTTGGAGTTGAAGGGGTCTTCTGGTTCCATCTTTCACTTTTTGGTCATCCTTAGGAGCTGAGATTTTATATCAGGTTAGGCAAAAAGCAGACTTTGTAGTTTTCCTGGTTTCTGGCTTCTTAGAAAAGTTCTTCCTTAGCTGTACCTTTTTTTTTTATTTTTAAAGATTTTATTTATTCCTGAGAGACACACACACACAGAGAGGCAGAGACACAGGCAGAGGGAGAACAGGCTCTATCCAGAGAGCCCGATGCAGGACTTGATCCCAGGACTACAGGATCAAGCCCTGGGCTGAAGGCAGACGCTAAACCCCTGAGCCACCCAGGGATCCCCACCGGGCTCTAACTTTAATACTTCCTATCATGTGCCAGCTCAGCTCAGTTCAGTAAGAAACCTGTACTGTACCAAGTTGTGGGCTGTATATGGGTCATAGGGCTCCTTGCCTGGTGGACATGTACACAGGAGCCAGTAACAAAGTCAGGGTGAAGAGGGAAAAAATGCTGAGGGATCACAGGGGAGAGGGTTTCTCATGGTTGTGGGAACAGAGGCTCCAGGGAGGAGAGGACACTTCCAGTATGCCACCTGGGAGGCAATAAAAAAACAGAGATGTCTCCTATCTCTCGCTTCCTCCCTGGAGGATGTTGAGCTGGGCAGGAGGGGGGCTGGA